ACTCAAGAATTACGAAAAACATTAAGATTGAGAAGGAGTGATTGACATGTGTCTTCTTTTAGTCTTATTTTATATCAATATTATGATATTATAAATTCACATTTAAATGTCGTGTATGATTCATGTGTTTGGTTTTGGGGGCGTATCGATTTGCGTTTTTTGGTTTATGTTATAATTTCTGGTGTTGTTTGCTATTTTACTTGAATTACTTTTGGTATTGTGTAACGATATTCCATTTCCGTGTTTGTTATGTAAATCCATTTTAGAACAATACAAATATGTTAAGTTTGTTATTCAACAATGTATTCCTGTTATTCTGTTCATTTTATATATCTACTTCTATTAGTATTTTTTGATGTTGTCTGTTAAGTAGCAATCGTTTAAAAAGGTTAATGCTAGTAGTCCGTCAAATTAGAGGAAATAAATTAACTAATGATAACACATTATAGGTATGTAATTTCATACCAACTATGATTAACATTTTGCACATTGTGTATATTTCATGTTATAGTGTCATTCATCAAGCACTGAACTTCTTTGAAGGCTGCATGTACAATGAACACATATATTCTGTCATTCATCATGATGTAAATGTTTGCATAAGTTTAAAAATAATAATTAGTGAAGCTCATTGGGTTGAACTGCGATAAATAATAAACAACTCAATCAACGTTGGTTGTTGTATTTGAATTAATTTAGATTAATTCAATCATTCTTTTGTTGTACCATTAAAGGCTTGACAACTTTTTTGGGAACCTGTTGCAATTAATATATTTTACAGTTTCAATGTCATTCCCCAACAGCTACTTCCAACTTTTAATATTCTTTTGCACACACACTTACATAATAGTGTATATATATTTTGGATCCTTTTTGCACATCTGTTCAATCACTCACTCATATTGTACAAGTAGTAATCTATGTCGCTGTCCATGGATGGAAATGGCTCATCAAATGCCAGGCATCGAAGGAAGATGATATTACAAAGGAAAATATCTAAACATATTCTGAAAGTCACAGGTTTGTAAATGGAACCAGTCATGATAACAATTTTACTATACCATCTGACGTATAAATTTTTGTTCTTTTGTGTTAGACGAAAATGTTACACCTGTTATACATACCGTCAGACTTGAAGGTTCATCCTGTGTACAACATCCTGCTATGAGAACTCCATTGTCTACATTAATAACATGTAAATTCTCCATATCACTTTTCTATTCCATATATTTGATTACAATGTTGTCTATTTGTTATATACAATTTTTGTTTGATTACAGAAGCAAAAGTATATGTAAGAAGAAGCAAAAATGAATTGCTTATACTATGTCTCTATATTAATGACTTGTTGATAATAGGTAGCTGCAAGAAAGAGATGGAAGACTTCAAAGGTGATCTCAGCAAGGAATTCGAAATGTCAGATCTGGGATACATTTCATATTTCCTTGGCATCAAATTCTACAAGAGAAGTAGATGATTGATAATGCATCAAAGAAGACATGTAAGTGAGAATCACAAGAGATTTGAGGTGGAAGAATGCAACTCGACTTCGACGCCTGTGGAACCAAGATTGCAGCTATCAAAAGATTCAGATGAATATGATGTCGATCCAACCCAATGCAGAAGACTTATGGTGAGTAGATTCATGCAGAAGCTAAAGGTATCACATCTAGCAGCGACGAAGAGGACACTAAGGTATCTGAAAGAAACTCTTGACTACGGTATTCTGTTTCCTGCAGTTGATAAGGGAAAAGAATGCAAGTTAGTGAGATACATCAACTTAAGTTGGTGTAGTGATGCTGAGGATCGAAAATCCACATATGGCTATGTGTTTATGCTAGGTCGTACACCAGTTTCTTGGAGTTCAGGAAAAGAGCCAGCAATGGCATTATCGTCGTGTAAAGCAGAATAATATGTGCTTCTCTTTGTGCATGTCAAGCGACATGGATGGTGAACTTGGTCGAAGAGATTACAGAGAAAATCCTGGAGCAATTACAATGAAGATCGACAACATGCTAGCTATCAATCTAGCGAAGAACCCGATAACTCATGTCAGAAGCAAGCACATCAAAATGCAGTTTCATTATCTTCGTGAGCAGGTAGCAGAAGTGTCGAAGTAGTTTGTTTCACACAATATTTCGTAGGTCTAAAATAGGTATTTTAGGCTTTTATAGTATTGGGCTTTGACTTAGGGAGCAAGCTAGCTCAATTATAAATAGAGGGAGTAACCTCTATTATTGTGCACAACTTGTATTCACGGAATTTACAGTTGCAGTTGAATAAGATTTTCCATAGTTTGTGGGCAGATATAAATTCGGCAGAAAATCACCTTTGTCTTCCATATTTTATCAAACCCTAATTTTCTTTCTTTTTCTTTGTCATTGTGTATCGATAACAATCTTATTCATTAAGATTGATAAACAATTTCTATAAATTTTGATGAATTTCCAATACCGTTAATTATATATGACAATTTTAAAAATCACTTGAAAAAGAGAATTGAAATTATTGATAAATGATAAAAATAGTCAATATACTAATTTGATATCAAACATTGTATAAAATAAAATTCAAAATTTATGACATAAATAATGTCAATATAATAAATAAATATATACTTTATTTTTTATATATAATTTTTATTTATTTTTATGCTAATCTTAATCAAATATTTAAATATCGAACCATACTCGGATAATCTAGTAAGTAATGTTACCACTGCTTAAACCGCAATCAATCAATCAATCAAAAACTATCCAACGCATAAGAAATATATTCACTATATTAAATATATTTATCTAACAAAGATATATTATGATTCTGTTTAGAAAAAGTAAACGGAACTCCAATGAGATAATTTCTCCATTTTAAAATAATTATTGTTTTAGTAAATAATTTTTGTTTTAAAATAATTATTATTTTTATTTTTTAATATAATAATAATTATTAATTTTTCAATTGTGTCCTTTATTTTTTATTCTTTATACTATTTTTAATATATTAATAAAGTTAATTTTATAAAAATATAATATCTTACGATAATATTATTTTATTTCTTAATTTATGTATAAAAGTTTTTTTAACAATAATCATTCTAAATCACGATACCAATCTTTTAGCCCTTTTAGCAAGATAAATAAACTACACGTATATAAGATTTGTCAACAAAATATAAAGTAGGATCTTTCTTTTTATATTTGAACATATAATATATCTTCTACCGTTCTACAAAGGATTCCATTTTGTTATATGAATGGTAGTTGGTATTCATTTTCAATAATCAAAATTCTTTCAAGTATATTCTGATATCATAGTTTAATACTAAAATTGAAGCAAAGTTGAAGACTCCTTCATGTTCCAACCAAAAGATATATATGTAAAAATGATTTAATATGAAGATATGATTAACAGTGGACCCTGGAAGATGATTTGTTGGTGAAGAATGCTGTGTAATAATAATGCTAAACAAGTAAGGTAATTGAGTGGAGTTTCTTGGATGATTGCGTAGTAGTCATTGTGTTAATTACGCTGAAATGATGGCGAGTATTGTAAAAATAATATTTATACTTTTGTAGAATTGTTGGTACGCTACGCTTTCCAGATATGATTTTGATGAACAAGCCAGTGAGTCATGTTTATGAATTTTTCATAAAATTAAAAAGTCAAATAAATTTTGAATTCATTAATAGTTTTATTACAAGTATAATATTTTGGATAAGCAGCATTTTCCATGTGACGTATCCAAAAAGAGACCATAATGCACAAAGACACGAGAGCCGTCTCTCACTCTGACCAACGAGGCAACCATGACAAGAAAGGATAACGGCGATTTTATTCTGATCCTTAATAATATTATAATTATAATATTAAACATATTTTTAAAAAAATAATATATAATAATTTTCTTTCCGTCACATGAGTAATCCAAACTACTATTTCACACGTATTAAAAAATATAAGAAAATAAAAGAAAATAATATTTTTACTATAATATCCTTAATTATGTATTAAAAATAATAAATATTTAATTAATTAAAAAAAATATATATTAAAAATTAAAATAAATAATTTATTTTAAAACATTCTTTTATTTAAAATAAATTACTAATTAATATTGACATGGCTGATGGCGAAAGCCACTCCACTAAACAATCAAAACTTAATTTTCATAATTCATTTCTTAATTTATACTCCTAAAATATTATACTATTATTTAAATTCAAAAAATTTATTTAAAAAAAATAACACTCCAACAAAAGATATTATTTTTTTCCTCAAAATATGTGGTAGATGTTTAATTTTATTGTGAAAAAAAATTGATTTTGAATAGATTGATTCTATAAAATTGATTTAGGTTAAAAAAAAATTAAATGTAAAGTGATTTATTTTAAAACAATTTTATATTAAAATTGTATTGAATAATAAATTTTAACATAAAAATTACTTAAAAACAGTTAATTACAATTTTGAAGATATAATCATTTCTATTTTAGGAAAATTAAATATCTCAAAATTATTACAAAATTAATTCTACAAATTTTAAAATTGCATTCGTATCTTCCAAAAATTAAATCAAATAAACTATTACTTTATAGAATTAAAAAAAAATAAAGTCTCAGATTTAGAAGATTTCTTATGAAAAAGGTTTTTGCTTTATAAAATAACCTACTTGATTAAAAAAAGAAAGATTGTGACTACTAGCAGTGGCAGTGAAACATTGAAAAGGGCAATGATAGTTGTTTGTTGAATGAAGCGGAGAGGTCAAGTAACTGAAACTAGAATTTCTTCTTTTCATCTCTCTCTCTCTCTCAATCTTTACCATCTTCACAAGTTTCTTTTCATATTCACCTTCTCTTCATGGATCACTCTTAATTCATCATCTTTGTTAACTTTCTATAATTTAATTTATATATGTTCTTCTTTACAAGAACAAAGAAACAAGCCTTTTTTCTTTCCACAATTCCATTCAGCTTTTCTTAAGCTAGCTATATACATAATTTATGGCGAAGGAAAAGGTGGATTCACCTGTTACAGTTCTTGAGGACTATTTCAAAAGTTCAGATTCAGAAACAAGTTCTTCCAAAGAACCTACTTTCGATTCTGATGAAATTTCAAAACCTCTTTCAAGGTGGCATTCGTTTCGTCAATTGCTCAAAACAGGAGCAAAGAAACAGTTACCAACATTGCAGCCACCTCTTCACGGACAACTCTCAAGAAGACTTAGCAGAAGCATGAGGGATACTATTCTTCCAAGTTGTCTCACTCTCTCCAATGCAACTTCAACCCCTTGTAGATCACCATGGAAGATATTTTCTCATCATGATATACAACTTGCAACCAACTATTTTAGCCAAGGTATGACACATGTCTGTGTCTGGTGTCTCACACATGTCTAATGTAAATTACGTTCAATTTATTCACCGTTCAACTTACTATCCATGTGTAAGTGATATTGTTCCGTACGGTGAGCGTGTCTATGTCAGTGCTTCATAGGTTTTTAGGGTTTTTCGCGGTCCTTTAACTTACCAACCAAGCTACCTCTGTGGGACATGCTTTATAGTATAGATTTGTTATTAAGGTAACATTGAGTATTGCTTGTTTTGGAATTTACTACATTATGTTTGGTGCAGAAAATTTGATTGGAAAAGGTGGATATGCTGAGGTTTACAAAGGGTGTTTACCAAATCATCGGTTAGTAGCAATCAAAAGGTTAACAAGAGGAACTGCGGATGAAATTATAGGAGATTTTTTATCAGAACTTGGTGTAATGGCGCATGTTAACCATCCCAATACTGCTAAGCTTGTTGGCTATGGAGTGGATGGAGGAATGTATCTAGTTCTTGAATTGTCTGAAAAAGGAAGTCTAGCTTCAGTGCTATATGGTATTGAATTGAACTATTGATTCATAACTTAAATAATTTTATTTAGTCGAAATTGGATTACCTACATTGACTTAATCAAGAATCGCATATCTATGTGTTAGATGAAGATCAGATGACTCGTACTTTGAGTTATATTTTTTAAAGTGGTTTAGAGAAGTTAAAAAACGAATTGTCTGATCTTTATTAATCTACTGAGCTTCCTTGACTCCGTGACTTAGTATTTCTTTAAATCAAAATTTGATTTCTTTTTTCTGACATTAGGTTCCAAGGAGAAAGTACCATGGTGTATTAGGCACAAAATTGCATTAGGAACAGCCAGTGGTATATTATATCTTCATGAGGGTTGTCAAAAAAGATTCATCCATAGAGATATAAAAGCTGCCAATATCTTGCTCACAGAAGATTTTGAGCCTCAGGTATATGCTTTGGATTTTTTTTATGTAAGGTTTGATTCTGTAATTGATTCTTTCTGTTTTTTTAAACATTTTTTCCGTTTACTTTATAGAGAAACAATTTTTGGAAGGTTCTTCATTATGAATTTTCTGAAACCTTTTTGTTTTGTTATATGTTATGTATTGTTCCATTTCAGCATACCAAACACTAAAGTTTTATACATATAAGCTTTCTTTAGTGCTACATTTTTATTTATTTTTTGGGCGCAGATTTGTGATTTCGGGCTAGCAAAATGGCTGCCAGAGAATTGGACTCACCATAACGTTTCAAAATTTGAAGGAACTTTTGGGTTTGTAACCTTCAAATTCATTATTATACTACTTCTGTTATAAACTTTTGTGATTTCCTATTCTACTAGTATTAATTAACTCATCAAGTTCAGTTATGATTTTCCACAGTTACCTTGCTCCTGAGTACTTGCTTCATGGCATAGTAGATGAGAAAACAGATGTATTTGCCTTTGGTGTATTGCTCTTAGAATTGGTCAGTGGGAGAAGAGCCCTTGATTATTCACAACAAAGCCTTGTTTTGTGGGTATAGTTTCTTATATGACAAATCCTTGATTAATCTTAAGAGATTGTTATAAGATTAGGACTTTAGGCATTGATTTTGTTTCCTCCTAATGATATTTTCAGGCAAAACCTTTGTTGAAAAAGAATGATATTATGGAGCTGATAGATCCTTCACTAGCAGGTGAATTCGATTATAGGCAGATGAATCTTATGCTCTTGACAGCTTCTTTATGCATACAACAGTCCTCCATTCGTCGTCCCTCTATGAGACAGGCACGTTGTCTTGTCCCTTTACCGATCATCCACGGTCACTGCAAAGTGCAACCACATGTAGATCCGTCAAATCTTATTTGGATTTGGTTTGACTGTTCTACATGTCGTTGCAACTTGCACCGTGTAAGGACCGCAAAGGATCCAAACTCTTAACATTGGACTTTTGTGTTTTTTTCCTAACTATAAGATGTTATTACTAAATGACAAAGATATTGTGTTTTGTGTAGGTTGTGCAACTTCTGAATGGAAACCTTAGTTGCTTCAAGACCATGAAGAAAACTCGATTGCCATTCTTTCGAAGAGTCTTTCGGGAAGAGCTTCTTGATTCTGATTAGTAAATGTAACATGAATCACATGATTATTAGCAACTGTGCTAAGGATATTGTGATTAATGAATGAGTTTCTGCAGCTAGAAATTGCTTCATCAAACACAAAATTTTGCATTTTGGAATGCACAAAGAAGCATGCTAATGCCCTTAGTCTTATGTACATAGTAATAGTAGTTTTTTTGTTTTCGTTTTAGTAAAATAGGATATCAAATACATATAGTTATGTAGAAAGAAAAAAAATATTGTAATACCAAAGAGTCTTAACTCACTTTGTGCCTCTTTGTTTAGAAAGAAAGAGACTAAGTTCGTTCCTCTCTTCTTCTATAACATTAGAAGATGTAGTAGTGACCACTTGAACCCTCCAAGTTACTACATACACCGTCCCACAATTTAAGTTATTTTATGTAAAATAAAAACTTTCATTTTATATTCTGTTTTACAACATTAATAAGTTACTAAATTTATTTTTTTCAATTATACTTACTAGTAACTATTTATAATTATTTTTTAATTTAATAAATTAAGATGATTATTTGAATTGAGATTTTAAAAGACTTTTTCAAATTAATTTTTTTTGGTATTTGTTCTGATAGGATAAAAATGCCTAACAAGACACCTAGGCTACAAGACTCAACAAATATCCAAGTGATCCAAACCTAATATCACAACTTCAAAGGTCTATAAGCTTAGCATTATCAAAATTTAAGATACATAATTTACAACTCTAAAAATATTGTTTCCTTTTGATAATCATTGACATTGTCGTCTTGCAGATATCACCCCACCGTCACCGTCAAACTAGAGCATCAATATAACAAACATATCAGGACCAAAACATCAATCTAACAATCACACACGGTGTTTCAAAAATTAGAGATATGTGATGAAATGATGGAATGAAGTTCAAATATGATGGATCAATCTTTTAGTATGGTTGCCCATACTTCTGTTTTCATAATCTAAACTGAATTTGTTATAGGAGGCTCTTTGACTACTTAGGATGAGATTCATGTTATCTCTTTCTTTGATAAACTTATCAAATATGTTATGTGGATTGTTAAAATACTTTGTTTCTTTCTAAAAAAAAGAAGAAGAAGGATATTTGAATTAAAATACTTTGTTTCTCTCTAAGGTTATCTATTTCTTTTAACAAATTTCCATTTCTATTTCAAGGGAAAATATAGTAATTTTAGAGGTAAAAACATGGTGTTTTGATTTACTTATTTTCAATCTAATTCTTTTACAAATGTGAAATAATTTATTATAAGTAAAGTATGATGTTGGACTTCACCCCGTTTTCTTCATGATTTGAAATAAGACAAATGTTTGTTTTTTCTTCTTTTTTTGATTCATTTGAAGACTCTATATCATTTACATCTCAGACTATATATTCATTCTTTGTTTCTTTTTGAGAATTTTTAAAGTTTTCAACTTTTTTCTAGTTCTGATACCGAGGACAATTCTGCTTTATATGATTTTTCTTTCCACATTAATAACAAGTTGAGACAAACAAAGAACTTCCTTCATTTTTTATGTTGAAAGTCTTGTTGTTTGTCATGCTTTATGAATCTTTTAAATAAGCATACACATCTTCTCAATAAAGATTCTCATATTCTCTTTTCAATAAGCACACACATCTCTATTGAAGGATGAGGTAAGTTTAGTAAATTGTTTGAAGTCACTCCTACCTTCTGAGACGGTTAGTCTTATAACAAAAATTAGGTTATGATGTCACTTGTTGAACAAGCGACACCCAACACTAGAGAAAGTGAATTGTCATATTGGATTTTTAATTTTTTTCATTATAACAATTGATTTTTAATTGATTGATTTTATGAAAAGGGTAGAAACAAAGACTAAGTAGCGGCGGAAAAGAAAAATGATAGAAAAGTTAAGAAATGAGATAAGAAAGATCATACTAAAAATTATTCTGATTTGACTTAAAACCTTGCGGCATAATCCACTTCGAGATTTTTCTCTTGTGATTTACACTATCAATAACTTGAATGGATCTTCGAGTCTTTTTTTAAAATACATGTGTCATAAGATATTAAATATCAATTCAATTGACATTCGATGCTTATAAATAAATAAGAAAATTTTAAAAATAGACTCTAAAATAGTTAAATAAATTAAAATAAAAATATTACAAATTTTTGATTTTAAGTTAACAATAAACATACACGTGATCAATTAGTTGATTCATCAATTAAAATTATAAAATTTTAAATAGTCTATATAATTGATTATAAAATTTTTAGTCTATATAATTGATTTATTAATTCACAAATATCACTTAAGATATACTCTTAAAATTTAAGAGACTCAATTTTTTAAATTTCAATTCTTTAGAAAACTAATGACACAATATATTAGATAGAAGAGACTTTTGTCTCTTCAAATACATCTCCATAGTTTTTTAAACTAGTTTTCACATCATTATAAATCTCATATGATTGCCAATAACACACTTATAATTGATAAACTTATGATTTACAATAATACACATTAATAAACTCTTCAAATTTGTTTCAATTTATAATGAATAATAAAATACTTCATTTCCATATAAATGACTCAATTAATCTAATATATAAATCTTAACACCATATTAAAATATAACGTATATTATTTATTCAATTTAAACAAAGAATGATATTCATAAAATAGATGACTTGCGATTCAATTAAAATTTCATCATTTAAATATAAAAATTCAATTTTTATTAATAATCGCATAACTCATAAAAGCACATCAATACATTTGATAAAAAATAGACTCTGAAGTCTATATTTGATTCTCTCATAATGACTCATGAAGGAAATGAGCAAGTTAAAGAAATAAAGGTCTTGACCTTGATTCAGAAGTATGAATTCTTCAAGATGGAAGATGATGAAACTATTGAGAACATGTTCTCAAAGTTTCAAACTCTGGTAGCAGAACTAAAAGTCCTTGACAAAAGCTACACCAATGCAGATCATGTAAAAAAATCATAAGAAATCTTCTAAAGAAATGGAGACCTATGACGACTGCTCTAAAGGTGTCAAAGAACCTCAATAGTACAATTCTGCAAGAACTTATAAGTTCCTTAAGGAGTCATGAAATAGAGCTTGAAGAAGATGAGCCTCTGAAAAAGGTAAAATTTATTGCTCTAAAATCTAAAGGCAAGTCTAAAAAGACTAGTTTTTCAAGCAGAAGAAGAAGTCTCAGAAGAAGATTCCAATGATGAAGAATAAATGTATCTGATGTCCAAAAGAATTAATCAACTTTTGAAGCAAAGACAACGAAGATTCAGAGGCTACAGAAGAACTGATGGTCATCAAGAATCAACATCTGGTCAGAAGAAGTATGAAGCAGAGAGAGAGAGAGAGAGGTCACCTACTTTGAATGCAAAGAACATGCCCACTTCAGAAACAAATGTCCCAGACTCAACATAGAAAGAAGAAAGAAGAAGTTCTTCAAAGTAAAAAGAAAGTACTGATGGCAACATGGGATGACTCTGATTGTTCAAAAGACGAATCTGAAGACGAGCAAGAAAACATGGCATTTAATGGCAAGGACGAAAGTTATTAAACCTGATCCAGAATCAGAATCAAACTCCAAAGAGGTATTTTCTCTTTTAACTCGCTCTGAACTTGAAACTTCCTTAACTGAAACTCTTGAAAAGAATCAGAACCTTCAAAGAAAATGCAATTCTCTTAAAAAGATACTTGTAACTCATTATGAATCACATAGTGAGCTCATGAAAGAAAACATTATATTAAAAGAAATATTATTTGTCTTAAAGAAGAAGTCTCCCCTCTTAAAAGTAAAAATAAACTTTTAGAAAAAGAAACTCTCTTAAATGCTCCTATGAACTCAGAATGTGTTTCAAAGAAGTATGAAGTTTCTTTTAAAATGTTTTTGGCTAATCTCTCTCTCTCTCTCTCTCTCTCTCTCTCTCTCTCTCTCTCTCTCTCTCTCTCTCTCTCTCTCTCTCTCTCTCTCTCTCTCTCTCTCTCTCTCTCTCTCTCTCTCTCTCTCTCTCTCTCTCTCTCTCTCTCTCTCTCTCTCTCTCTCTCTCTCTCTCTCTCTCTCTCTCACACACACACACACACACACACACACACACACACACACACACACACACACACCACACACACACACACATACATACATGGGATACATCAAGCCTAGAGATGAAAAGTTCTATCCCAAAGACGTAGATGATATGGTTATTAGATTATGGTAACTTATCTAGAGGGTAGAATAGATTCCCAAATTAAATTACCTTTTAAAATTCTATTTTGAAAAATTAATTAAAAACTATGGCAAATAGAAGTTTACAGCAAGATCAAACAAGTCGTCTAAACCAAACTGATTATTTGAAACTCAGATATGTGTAATATACTGAACGAAATGAAATACAATGATAAAGATTTAATACAATAATTCATCAATCAATCGTTTTATTATGATCACAATGCTAACCTACTTCTAATGAAATTATTGATAAAAATGAAAGCTAGTAAATTATCAAATACTTGGTGTGCAGTCGATTTTTCAGATTTTCCTTTGGACTTTGTTAATATGAAATACCACTTAAAATATAATTGATTATAATATAATCAACAAAGCAATTTCAATTTTAACAATCAAAGGATTTGTCTATACGTATCGACTATGCAATAAATGAATTTAACAATTTGCTATAGAAAGTAAATGAGAGAGAGAGAGAGAGAGAGATGACAAAAGGATTTGTTTAGGCAATTCACCAATCTTCTTGCTATGGCTATGTATACCCCCAAATTCCAAATAAAATTGAGATATCAATCTTACTATACAAAAAGTTGATTACAAGAGAAATGTAGCAATGCAACCCTACAAACCCAATGTTTGATGTTGATTCTAACCCATTTTCTTATGTTGATCTTGAGCTCGACCAAGTATCCCGTTAACACTAATTGATTAACCGTATCACTCTACTCCTTTGCAAGAACCCCTATTCATCAAAGCTTTCACTCGAT